TTCTGCGCAGGCTTTTTCTCCGAGCCGCAAAAGGACATCGCACCAAAAGGGTGCCTTGGAATCGCGGAGGGAATTGATATTCCCTCCTACCGGCCATATTCAGGGCCGGGGTTTTGGCTCTCGACTGCCAAGAGGGCAGCTACCTCCGCCGCGATTTCGAAGGCTTCCTCAAGCATCGACTGGTGGGTGGTATTACTGGACGCACATCAAGGTTATGCTATTACTTACATGATGTTTCATAGTTCCCGGTCATGAACGCTTATCCACAAGCTAACTCGGTGTTAGTGATGGACAACGCGAGGATCCATCATGGCGGGAGGATCGCGGAATTGGCTGAAGAACGGGGTATTCGAATCATCTACCTCCCACCGTACTCACCTGACCTAAACCCCATTGAGAAGGCGTTTAGCGTCCTGAAATCTCACTTCCGACGTACCCAAAGCATGATTCGAACCGCCACTGCTGATAAAATCGATCTCATCATGGATCGCACTTGGAACATTTTCACCGGCGCTTTAATGCATAAGTTATACACAGTTTGCGGCTACTGGACGTAGGATACAATCTTCTGGAGATATACTTACATGCGTTCATGGCAGTTTCAAACATGGTAGTTTCAAACAAGGTTGTTTTCATCTTTGTCTCATCTCGGCTCTCTCTCAAAGATGGTTGTTTTCTTTTTGGTCGTGTCTCTGCACTTCAATGTTGCTTTTCTTGCTTGTCTCGGGTTTTCAAAGCCCTGAGGTCTTATGTTTGTCTCCGGTCCGCTGTTGAAAGTAGTTTGATCTCATATGTTTTTCGGCTCAGGTCTGATGAGCCGAGTCCTTTTGCTTGTCAATGAATTCACACCAGACTCACAACCGGAGTTGAGGTGATTAGAGTTGCATTGCAATGAACACAACGTGTGCTCCTAACCCGACTGATGAGTGATATTGTGTCAGCTACATCTTGTCCCTCGAAATGTGAGATGAGAGAACCATCTCATTATCTAGTGGCACTTGCTGAAGATGATGAGGGCGAGACAGTCTCTCCAAACTGTGAGACTGTCTCGCGGATGAACACGCCGCTCCAAAGACTTTCCAAGTGATCGATCCCGACCAAATCTTGATGGCTCAAGGTCGGAATCGATTGCTAATGATGCTTCAGCATTCATTGGAATGTCTCACATGAAGGACAGGTCATGGGGCACAATACGGTGAAGAATAATGAGTGGGGAGGTTTTGATTACTGCACTATGAGATAGTTCATAGTTCACAGGCATAGATGCGCAGGCCAAAACCAGCGCGGTCGGTCAAAGGTGAGATCGAGAAACCAGGACAATCGGTCACAAGGAGGCAGAAACAAGAGCAGGCTGAAAGAAACCAGGACAATCGGTCACAAGGAGGCAGAAACAAGAGCAGGCTGAAACAAGCGCAGACGGTCAAAAGTGAGATCGAGAAACCAGGACAATCGGTCACAAGTAGGCAGAAACAAGAGTAGGCAGAAACAAGAGCAGGCAGAAACAAGAGCAGGCAGAAACAAGAGCAGACGGTCCAAAGTGATATCGAGAAACCAGGACCTTCGGTCACAAGTGTGATGAAATTGATCTGAATCGGAAATCATCATAAGAATAGGGAACTAGCTCATTCCATGAAACGAGAGCGGAGTTCCTGAATGAATTTGGGAACCGCCTTCCAGAGATCCTCTGCATGAGCGAAGGGGATCCCCATGCTTCGGTAATTGGCAATCGTATAAGTGCTGCGGTCCAATAAACGATTGAAATCATCAATACCTTCATTGCGCAGAGCATTGCGGGTCTTAGTCATTTCACCCTTGATACCCGCGAAAATGAGGAAAGATTCAAAACTAGGTCTTTCACCGGGTGGAGGGGATAAGCGAAGTGATTGAGGAGCTTCTATACTAGCTGGTATCGAGTTAGAAGTGGCCTGGTTGGGAATGGGCAGACCAGCGACAGGTGGTAAGGGTGCTCCGAAGACGGTTGAGGCAGGAGGTTGACCGTAGGGGGGAGGAGGTGCACCGTAGTAATTGTGATGAATCACAGTGGCCGGCGCGGTTGGATTCGAAGAGGTTGGTTGGACCGGATTCATCCCAAGCAATAAGCTTTTCTCTTTCTCATAGTCCGCAACACTGATCCATTTGAACCCTGGTCGAGTCATAGGCGGATTGACTTCGTCTACACCGGGTTTCCCGTCCGCCTAAACGCATATAAAGAATCAGCTACCTTGTTCGACAAATGAGGAGCCCACGTGATAGCGATAGAGTAAGAAAAAAAAACCCACCCAGTCGTTAGCCCATTGGCGAATGCGTGTGGTATTCAATAGGCACACCTTGCCAGCTTCCTTTGGATTGACAACACTGGTGACGTTTTCACCAGCCTTGAAATCCTTTTTGAATCGGGTCATCGACGTGCGAAGGTTTCGTTCACCGGGGCTAAGAATATCCGACTAGAAAACGTACGAAGTCAGTAACATGAATAAGGACATCGAAGGTAAAAAAGATGACTGACTCCCACAGAGCCCTCGGAATCAAGGCCATCAGAAGTGTCAGAGTCAGAAATAGGTGCGCGCGCCTGACTGGCAAGCGCTCGAACGGCAATTGCTGTCGATCGAGGATCGTGGTGGACAAGTTTGAACCCCATGACAGTGGTAGCAGGCGTGGTCAAGGCAGCGGCGATGAAATCATGAAAAGGGATGGGGGAAGAGATAGTCACTTTGTCATTAACTTTATATTGGCGATGACAGTTGATAAATCCTTGAATCGACAGGGTACGCTCGTTCCAGGCGCGAAGAAGGGCATCAGACACGCCGGCTAGGCTTTCGTTGCAGGACCGAAAGATGGTTGCCAAAAACGGCGAAAACATCAAATTTTTGGGGGTGAGTGTGAGTGTGTGTGGCAGAGGAGGTTTGTAGTTCTGATATTTAGGCTTGGCAGGCTTGGCACGGCTGGGGCAAGTCCCGCCAGGGGTGCGTCGACGCTTGGTGTTGGGAGCGTCGGCTTCGGGTGCCTGTTCTTGATGGATATTGAAATGTACCTGGAAGGTCCTGGGTTCGTCAGGACAAGCGGCGCGTGGATCATTCAGAGCGGGGGTTGTGGTTGAAGTGACAGTGGAACCTGGAAAACAAATGGGTAATCATGAAGTAATCATCAGTGGGTTGCACATTGTCAAGCTGGGGGGGCAGACGTTGAAATGACTTACCATGATCGTCGTCGTCTGTCTCGCCAGAACGCTCGAGTGCCTCTGACTGGGAAGCTGGTCGTTTCAAAGGTGAACCGAATAGATCGGGATTTGCTGGATTCGAGGTCACCAAAGAGGACGAGCTTGAGGATGGGGTTGAACCCAAAGAACGAGAATGATTGAACAACATGCAAGGGTTTATATGATCGTTGTACGAAGACGCAGAAGATGGCTGAGAGAAATAGGGAGGAGGTACGCCGGACGGGCTACGGCTGAAGATTGGATTAATCATGGGGTTGGGGACATAGCGAGGTGACAAGAGTTGTGAGGACAAAGGGATCGTGGAATAGCGGTTGTTCGCAGGAGTCTGCATGTAGGGAGGAGCAGCAGATGAGCCACCGAGGAAACCAGACCGTCCGTTTTTGTCATCCGCCGGGATTATTGGGGTGGTTGCTGGAGTGACCCTACACCCATCAAAACATTGATAAGGTCAATGATTCGGTGTCATATCATGACACCCTGCAGGGAATAGCAATCAACTCACTCGTGTGGAATCCGATTTTGATCCAGAAGGGCCTGGTGGCTGCGAGTGCGGATTGCGCGGCTCCCAGTGTCGATACGGCCATCGTTTGGCTTGCTACAGGTCCGAATCCAGAGAATACAATCAGGAAAATTCAACTGTGCATCACATAAGATCTCAATGAGATATAGAGAAATCTTAGGGATGAAAACACGTACGAAGGGACCTGGGATAATTTTCTGTTGGCCATAATGGAAGATTTTTCAAAGAAAAATTTCGAGTGAATTCGACTTGCTTTGGAGCTTTCAGGTTTGGAGGAAATCGATCGGAAGGCCAGCATTTTATGGGAAACTCCAGATTGATCAAGCTGTGGTTGACAAATGCTTGACCTAGTTGGGTTGTGGGATGTGGTGGGTCGAGTCTCATCAAGGTGTGGTTGGCTTGGTCGAATCCCATCAAGAGGTGGATGTGGTTCGTGGCTTGATGAATGTGGTTGGAGATTGAATCACTGACCAAATCAAGGTGAAGGCCGATTCGGGTGGTGGGATA